ATATGCATGAGCATGTGTGCATTAAAAAAATCTTTAAAGAGGAAAATTTTCTGAACATACCTGGACTTTTCTAACTATGCAGTATGACTGCAGGAAACCTCAAATCTCTGCTGAGATAGGTGAAATTAGAAGTGAAGGTTTCTAATTTTGCATCACTGAATTTAATGGCAGTTTTACCATCAATTTAGATGAGTTGTTTGGAAAGAATTAGGGCTCTCCAATGTTAGACTTATTTCTTTGGGAGCTGCCAAGCTGAGATTTTGTGGGAGTTTTTCCCCCCATTCGTTTTCATATAACTGTTGGAAACACACGAAAAATAAAGGTCAGAGACCAGAACACAGGACTCAATCTAAACTTCAGTGGCATAAAGTTTTGATGCTCTGTTACTAAAAGGGCAATCATGGCTGTTACATTTAATCCATAGGAGAGATTCACATCTGAAATGTTGCAAAATTCAATTAGAGATTTGCACTCCCGCTTGAGTGCATGCACTCCATTTGCTGTAGTATTTAGGGCTTGGAAATAATAGATATGTATAAAAATATGTAAGTTTTATATTTGTATTTTCATAAAACATAAATACAATAAAATACGTGCATCTGATCATCAGTGACTGCAAGGGAAATGGGTGTAAATGGGAGCTCTCAAATGAGGCTGGGCTTGCTTCCCTGGAAAAATCCACTTTGGGGGAATGCACACAAAAGCTGAAACTGTCAACTAGGGACTGCCAAAACTGTTTTCCTAATGTTTTGAACTTCCACATCTGTTGCAAAACCTGACCAAGACACACTGAGAAACACCTCTGTGAGCTTGCCTAGGAATTGGGCACCACAGGGTGCTGGAGACACTTCCATGGGAGCTTTCCCTTCTCAGATCTGGGACTGGGAGACATTGCTAATCTCAAATCTGAGCCAGGGTGCTCATCATTCTCAATTTCAAATGATTTCCACAAGGCACATCATGATCAACACCTCGGCAAATCAATTCTATGAGTGCTATCACTGCAACCAACCCATGGATAAAGGCTGCTATCATGGCTGAGGCAGGTGGAAATCAGATTTTATAGCATCTGACTCCAGGTAAAAGACTATCAGCTGGTAACTGAACTGGTTCACAGACATTTATTTTTTTTCCATTTCAGCTGGCACTTACTACTCCAGGTACCATCAGTACCCAATGTATTTTGGGAACAAAATTTTATTAATGCAATTGAAATGCCACTGAGCTGATGTTATTTATGTGGCTGACAAAATGAGAAACATGCTGAACAGATTCTAGAACAAAGGAGAGGAAAATGGATAGATAGATAGACAGATAGATAGATACACATTTGTAATCTCAAATTGGACTTTATTTTGTTCTCTGTCTGTCTACTGCTCAAATAGTTATGTTCAGAAAGCTCTGAAGTGAGCCACCTTTTCTATGGCAACAACACTAAGAAAAATGTTGAGTTTCCATGATCTAATTTAATTCTATTGATGTGATCTTATGGTAGCAATGATGCTTAAAATGTTCCAAGCTCAAATTGCCGTAGCATTTGCCTCCCACTGAAAGAATTTAGGTTTTATTATTTTATACTCACAGATGAAAGACTCTTATGATACCACTTTAGTGTATACTACAAGCATACAATTGCATTAATAGCAGGTCAGGTTCTAATAATCTTAAAATGGAAAGGGAATACTGCTGAGAGATGGGGTATCTGATAGGTATGGGGGATTTATAAGAAATACCTCAATGAGCAGTCGCTTTCTGTCACAAAACATGCATAATCATCACTTAGAAATACACAGCTCTGAGAAATTATAGGACATGTTCACATCCCTTCTTGTCCATAATCTCAGAGATCAGTATTTCTCTCCCTTTAACATCCCCCAGATTTTGGAAATCAAACTATCTGTGCGTACCAGGAGTCAAGTGGGTGGGTTCCAGGCCTCAATTTTCAATAAATGTCACAGCTAAAGTCTGGGAATGGTCTTCCGAAGTGAGGATTTAAATATTAAATCTGCAACTATATGAGAGGAAATAGAAAGAAAATTCAAGAGCTTCAGGGGCTAACAGACCTAAATTTATGTCCATGGCTGACTGTGAGTTGTCACTTGAAATGGTTCCACATCCTGAAGAAGGGAGAAGGATATTTTTTTCAAAGATAATACATCATATGTTAACAGTGGTGCAAATAAAGTCTCCAGGGATTGATTAAATCGATTTGATAAAGGTGCAATGTTATTGGAAAAATCCTGAAGATCACAAATGACAAAAATTCAAAAGGTAACAGATTTCACAAAAAAGTGAATCTAAATCTGATTGTGGTACTACTTCCTCCTCTACAACTCTTTTTTGGACTTCAGTAGCAGGAGGTGATGGGAATGACTAAATAATATTCAAAAAGCACTGAAAGACTTCATCTAAGGAAGATTCTACCTCACCTCAGAGAGATTAAAACTTCTGTTTCACTTTCAAGGAAAGGCATCAAAGGAGTAGCTGTCATATACAGAGGAACTTCTTGTTAAAACCAGTTGCGTTTGTTAAGCAGGCGCATGGAGTGTTATTGATTTTTTAATATTGAAGAAAATGTCCAAAGTTAGTTTCTTGGCTAGCAGCCTGCCCAGTTAACAAATTGCTCACCTGGATAATTTAAGAACCAACTTATATTAAATGCTTCAATCTCCAAGGGCACTGAAGGCCCTCAGCTTACAACTAAGCATGGAAATCAAAGTCCTCCATAGCCAGGATGCAAGTTTGGAAAAAGAAGGGAGTTAATAAAAAGCTTAGGACGAAGCTACCAGAAAGCTGTGCTCCTTCTGTAAGCAGTGAGGTGGAACAGTAAGGTTTAAAGGATGAAAATATCGTGTAATAATCACTTCCCTTGCTAGGGTTCTTCTGGCACAACCATCCATACTGTTAGGCTGGGAGGCAACACCACAGGCAGAGAGCTTCTGGGTTCTGATGTTATCACATTTTATGGGTGTGAAATTTGCTAATTTCACGGTTATGCCAAATACTAACTTCTTCCAGAAGATTCATCATCTTCTTTAAGACAGGTAAAACGTACACAAAAGTAATTTTCCACTCTTCTGAATTTATTTATTATTTACTTATATATACGGAGAAGCCTATTGTGAAGTATCTACTTGTTCACAGCAGTCTAGTATTGAACATCGAGGGGGAATATGAAGAGAGCACCGCATATTTCTCCTTATCCTTCTTGCAGAGAAACTCTAGAAGAATTTCCAAAAGAGAATGAGTGAAGTTAAGAGGATTCTTTATCCATAGCTTCGGTAGTGATCAGCTCTATTCTTTAATTGAAACTGAAGTGAGCAGCTGTTAACTCCCCTCCCATTAAGCGCTAACACGTTACATTTATTGTACATTTATTGCAAACAATAAACAGTTGTCTCTGTTTGAGTTCCTGCAGTCAGCATCCCCCACAAACACCTGGCCGCGATAGCCACACGGGCGAGCCGTTCATGAGCTCAGGCTGCCTCTTTGGAGGTGTCAGCCTTTATAAAAGTTGTATGAGCGTTTCTTCTCCTCCCAGAGAGAAGAGCCAGCCTCGTCTGCATGGCACGGAGAGCGTGTGCTTGAGCCTGTCTGCAAGGGAGGAGGGCGAGGGTACACTTTGGTACCTGTTGGCAAGGCGAGCGGGTTTGTGCAGCGCCGCTAAATGCCAGCTTGGATTGATTCCACCCTGTTTAGTCTGCTACTAAACGCGAACTGTTTGAATTGAGACAAATTCAAGACATGACCGAACGGCAGCGAACCGCAGAGGAATTCCTGCCTGCGTTAAGCAGTGTCACCTTCATGGCGGTAGGCAGAGCCTAAATAAGGATTTGAATTAATCTCTTTTCTATTACCCACCTAGAAGCTGCCACAGGCTGCTGTGCTGAAGCCTCGCAGTGCCTCCCAGCCGAGCCCGGCGCTGCTGCCGCTGCTGCCGAGCAGGGATGCTGGCTGGCGGCTCGGGGCTCCCGGCTGGGATGCTGCTACCCAGCAGATACCGGAGCCAAGCAGAACAGAAGGATGTGTTCCTCCTCTGCCTTCCTCAAAGAGAAGATGAAGCGTTTAGTGGCACAGCAGCTTCAGGGGGCCACAGGCTCCTGCGTTTCTGCTCTGGGAGCCTTGGCAGCAAACGAGCGGCGGGGGCTAAGGGGCTTTCTCCTTCTCCCAAGTTTCAGCTGGGTGCATCCTCTGTTTAGTCAGCCAAAGGACGGGAAGGAAAACAACTTGTGGGACAGGGACGACTCCTGGCTAGTTATGGCTACAGATTCATTCCCATCGCAGCTTTCAAGAAGAGCTGTATTTCTGGGATGCTTCCCTCTCTCAAAGTAGGAAAGGAAGCTATGAAAACGTTCCTATTTATTTACTCACTTAGGGGGTCCAAAGCTTTGGGGGGAGGGAAGGTGATAATAAACCGGGGGATTTCCCCCCCCAAAGGTTCTTCCAGCCTCCTCCTCCCTCATTTACATATCTGGCTGGTGGGTGATTTTTATTCTCAGCACGAAAACTGCAATCTATTTCAATGCATGAATGCAGCCCTGCATCTATTCAACGCAGTGAAATAGCCCAGAGACTTATTGTACTAAATAAGAAAACAAGGAGAAGAAACGGGTTCGCCAGCCTTAGAAGCAACCCTCTGTGATCCAAAGTCTTCCCTATTCTTTAAAGGAGGGTTTGGGAAGGGAAGGAAAAAATAAACCTCCCCAGAAAAAAACACCAACAAGCGGGAAGACAAATACAATTACCACCACTTCTTCTCCCGAGAGAATAATAATGATAATAAAGAAAAATACTAACAAGCATCCCACCACATTTTCATTATCGGCAATTTGGAAACATCAGACTTAATGAGGCAGCCAGTTCAGTCTAATACCGCACCTACGGACGAGGAAGGCGCTCGCCCAGCGCACCTTGCACGCACACAGAGCCCAAGTCAGGCAGAAAGCCACAGAGCCCTCTGCCAGCCAGCCACAAATTGTCTGAATAAAATGAATACTCACTCTTTCAAGGAGCACGGGAGCCGCTCGCCCACAGCCACTTCACTCACGGATTGAAAGGGTGAGGTAAAAAACATCAGCCAGTCCCTGGGAACGGGCAGGGTGCTCCAGATTTTCTTCTCATGCTTTCCGAGGCTGCCGATGCTGGCGGAGCCGCCTCTTGCTGGGCTTCCGGGGTCTCTGTGCCTGCATGCCGGAGCGCAGTTATTAATTTCTCCCTTCGCACAAGCCAGCGGCAGCCGCAAGTCTCCAGGAAAGCAGGGATATTCCAAATAAATCCGCTAATTCCGGGGCTGAGCGCGCCGCCGTGCCCGCCTGCCTGCCAAACGTAACTGTGAAGCGATGTGGAAAAGTGAGCCGGGAGCCTCCCCTGACAGCTCTTATTGGGCCGATCTCGGAGGCAGGTCTAGCGCTGGGAAATTCGTGTAAGCACTTTGGGGTGGTGGTTTTCCCCCTCCCTCCGCTGCCCGCCTTCCCCCCGGCAGGCACACAACTTTTCCAGGGGCGGCGGCGCCGCTCGCTCCCCGCGCTCCTGCCGCCAGCCCGGGCCGCCAACTCCGCGCCGGGGCATCTCCTCCGGGAGCCACCGAGGGATGCGGGGGGGGTGCGGGGGGGATGCGGGGGGGAGGGAGGGCGGGGGTGGGCACCGGGCGGACCCGGGCCGGGGCCACCGGGGACGCGCCCGCCGGGGCCGGGACGTGCCCGGAGCGCCGGCGAGGAGGAGCCGCCGCTGTCCCCCCGTGATTCGGAGCGATGCCCGCAGGGAGAGGGACGCGGGCTGGATGCGGCAGCACCCCGAGGGGCCGCGGGCAGCCGCTCGTCTCCGTGGCACGGCGCTGTGGCGAGCGGCCCGGGGACACGGAGGGCGTCCTTTGAAAGGGCTTTTCCCGAGGCGGGTCGGGCCGCGGGCGCTGCGCGGAGCGGCCCCAGGGCAGCGGCAGCCGCAGCGGGATGGAGGCAGCACCGCGCAGTAAGTCCTTGACCCTCGCCCCGTCCCCAAATCCTCTTTGTGAGCCGCAGCCCCGGCTGGAGGAGCGCTGGGTGCAGGCTCAGGGAGAGCAGCACTGGCGGCAGACACCTGCCCTTGGCTTTACGGAGCTGCGGGGGGCTCGTCCCATCCCGGACAGACAAACAGCACGGCCAGCGAGGGACAGGCCACTGCCATCCCCTGCCATCCTTCCTCATCCCTGGAGCTTTGCTCCTTCTCAGGTTGCATGGATTTTCTGTTAGGTGGTTAAATGTATCATTTTCAATAATACATCATAGCTCTGAATCTTGCCCAAGTTTGATGTTTGCCAAAAGGGAAGGGGTAAGAGCACAAGGCGTAGACATGGTCAGGTACGAGCAGGGACTCTTAAAATGGAGGGCTGATTCTACACTGAGCTAGTGCTGTTGGAGAAGTTTAATTGCACTCAATTCCATCCTTCTCCAGCTCTCCTGACCAGTACGATGTTGTGGTTGAAATGAACATGCTGTGGTTTTACATTAATGAAGCAGGTTCATTGCTTAATTTTATTTTTAAAGGGCTGGTCATCTGAACATCCTTCAGAGCCCCTGAAAACCTCTCCACCCTAAGCAAAAGATGACTACTCTGATCTACCTAGGATTGCAGAAGGTGGACCTTAATGTTCTTTTATATAGTAAGAATGCCGTATAATTTAGTTTCATGATTGTTAATCTTATTTTCCATGCTGACCCTATGAGCGCATGCACGTGTGTGAGACAGAGCATGAGACCCTCCACGTGTAGCTCTTACCCGCTCAACTTTATCTTAACTAAATGCAAGCTATTGCAGACAACAGGTGCATTTCTGCCTGCACAAATCCCCCTTCTGCAAAGTCTCAGACTCACGGGAATGTAGCAAAATGCACCCAGAATGTGCCATTTTTCAAGGTTAATGAAGAAACATCTAAGTATCACTTTGTTTCTCTCAGCCCAAGCTCTTACTTTCTGAGCTGCGAGCCTGGGAGGGTTCCTTGGAGGAGCATGGATATAAAAACACACAATACTTGAAGCAGGCAGAGAGCCTTGAGGGAAATACAAAACATTTGGAAGTGCAATAGATAAGATCAGAAATGTGGTTTCCTTTTACCTGGGGTTCTGCTGAGGCAGAGTATTTTTCTCCCCCACTGTTCCACCAACTGAACAACACAGTGAAAATACAGATCTTGTCACAAGGAAAGCGTGAGGATGCTCACCCTGGCTTTACTCCTGGGAATTAATGCCAATTTTCAAACTTTTTTAAGGTTTCAGTAAGAGTGGTTGCACACCTGGTTTTAATTTCTATTGAAAACATCTGATGGAAGCAACCAAGAATAAAAAAATCTTCCTAATAAGAGCCCTCGTGTCCTTGCTTTAAGTAGGCAGCACGGTTGTGTGTGGGAAGAAAGCTAATGGTAGAGGTTGTACCTGCAAGTGCAGCTTAAAAGTTTAGTTTTTTGTTTTGATTTCAACCTTTGACTTGTGCCATTTGTTCTACGTGACCTTTCTTGCAATTGGAAATTACCAGGGCAAAAGCTGTGCTCTTTCATCTTCAGGTTGTAGGAGAGGATGGTAAGTGTCTTGTTAAAATGGATTATGCTATCCATGGATTCCCCTGCTGGAAAGCCTTTCAGATCATTGAGTAAATCTTGACAGGAAGGAGAGTATAGATTAAAATTAATCTAAAAATAAGCTTGGAATAGCAAATGAACATTTGCAAATTTCTGCATCCTATCCAGACAAAATGATTTAATGATATTTATCATAGGGAGATATATATATACACACACACATACACTACTGCATAACACTGATGAATATGCTGGCTAGAAATTGTTTCCCCTTAAATAAATATTATAAGGAAGATTATTCCTCTATCTTCTAAATGGCCATTTCATTTTTTAAGCAAAAAACAGCTCTGACTCCAGTTGCAAAGGGATGAAGGTTTTAAGTTTAATGACTGTACTGAAGAAAGAAGTCATCTGCAAAATGCATATGATTGAATCCCATCCTGGATCAAACTGGAATGCAATTTTTCATATTAAATTTTGGGATTAGGGAAAAAAAAAATCCAAAACAACAACAAACCAGAATATTTACAAAATGCATTAGTTTGTGGTATGGGTTGGTTGTTGGGTTTGTTATTTCAAGGGTTTTTTTCATGTTGGTTTTGTGGTAATTTTTTGGTTACTTTTTTTTTTTTTTGGTTATGGTTTTGGGAGTTTGGTGTGTTTGCTTTTTCTTTTAGCTGGGTTTTAGTTTTTTGGGGGTTGTTTTTGGTTGGTTTTTTGACTGGTTGTGATGGAGAATTGGGAAAAAATTAACCTCAGCTTGGAAGAGGACTGGGAGATTTTCTTCTATATTGCTTTTCTTTTATGAGCAAGAAGGATAAAAACCCCAATGTGACTTCCCATGCATATACAGACAGGAAGTACCTGTCACCTAAAATATGTGGAATAATGGAGTTGCACCATCTTTCCTCACTTTCATGTGCCTGTGAAAACAGTTGTTGATGACCACTTAATTCTTTGTTCCTCAGCAGTGCAATCAACTGTTTCCTGAACACAGAGACTTTGCTGCTTAAAAATATTCCGTAGAAGTGGCTTGAAATGAGCTCCTCAGGGGCAGCTCAGTCACAGCACAGCCTTGCCAGGGTTACTGTGGAGTCAGTGCTTGGGGTCATCCCAGTTAAATCACAATGCCAAAGTCAGGGCTTGAGAGGGGAAAAGAAACTACTGTGCTAATTCCTCATATTCACATTTTACTCCATCAGATCACCTACCAGTGAGATACTTCCCTCAAAGCATCAGTAGCTTATTTCAGATTTTTAATATGTAAAATGGGGCCTGATCCAAAATTACATGCAATTAATGAGTCCAGAGTGAATTGCTTGATCAAGATAAATGACTTTACTGCGAGCTACTTTTGCTTACAGGGATTGCCACTAAAGTGCCACTTCAAAGTAGTAAGAAATTAATAACTGATTTGAATGTTCCTCAAGCAAGTTTATAGACTAGTGGTGTCACCTGCCATAGTTGCATTAAAGCTTTAAACACATTAAATGCTGTTTTTTCTTAGGCAATACCCACTCTACATGATTGGCACCTCTTGCTCGGATTACATGAGGGATTCTTCCTTAATTTAATTTGCTTTGTATGGTAGAATTGACATTCCATAAAATAAAAAGAAACAAGAAGGTTTATCTTAAGTCCAGAACATTTCTGAATAAAATATGCACTTTTATCAGCTCCCTGTGTCAGCACACAGACATAATTACCTTTAGAACATAGGTTCTTATCACTGTCTTGCAACCTTTAAAACCTGCTTGCATACAGTTATCACAACTTGGTTATCAGGAAAAATAATGATCTCCTGTGTTTGGGAAGTCACTGAAGACATCTGTAACTTGAAAAAAAAATCCATTATATAATGCTTACAAGTGATCCTACAGATTAAAACAAGGGAAATGATACGAGCAGCCTCTGAGATAAGGGTACAGGGTTGGGGTAGGTTTGGTTTCCATTTTTTTCCTCTGAAAGAAATTCATGTTTACACTTTAACAGGCAAGGCTAAAAACCCTGAGAGACTTGAGTGAGGGATTTGCAGAGGAATGCCAGATTCCTTCAGAGATCACACATGGTTAAAATTCAATATCCAGCACTGGAACAGAAAGCTTGGAAAGCCTCACTGAAGAAAGAGCAGCAGCAGCAGCCATAAGTGACAGAAGTGGTTCTCAACCACCCAAAAATCTTTGCTTTTGAGTCTGGGCCTTCTGGGGACAGCATTAATCCAACTCCATTCCCTTGTTACTTGAGATGTGAGGAGAAACAGATGCTTTGATTTTGAAGTTACTTTAGCTTTGACTGGACAAATGTATTCCTATAACCATTCAAATTCCTCCTCCAGCCCAAGGAAAAGTCTGTTCTGTCAGACAGAAACAAAAGTTTAACCCAGCAACAGCCCTGGGCTTGAGGACCCTTAGCATATCCTTTCCCATCCCCAAACACTTCATTTAGCACTATAAAACACAACTAGCCCTGAGCTGCTTCCACTCTCTAGAGATTATAAAATATAAACTCCCCAACTACTAATTTGTGTACCTTTTGCACCAGTGATATTATGGAGTGCATAAAAACAACAGTGCATTATCAGATTTTATTATTCCTCGGGCACTGTTTGCAATTTTGACTAGTTGCTGTCAGGTTGGCTGTTATAAAAACAATTATTCCTTTTGTACCTCAAACACCAGGAGAAAGACAAAAGAAAATTACATCCAGCAAGGCATTCAACCTTTTTTTTTTTTTTTTTCTTTTTTGTACATTAATGTACAGAAGT